CCAACATTAATTGGATGTAGGTGGAGAGGCCTCTAAACTATATGGACCCAAATTGGGTGGTTTACAGCGGTGATGTGAGACAAGTTTCTAACAAGAAGTATCCAAGTTGATATAATCATCTATATTGCTAAGTTTACCGTGCTTCCTAAAATAGAATTTTCAAAATGACTGAAATGGAGAAAATATAACTGATACTTGTTGCCATGAACCTCAAGGGTCATGCCAAGTATATCACAAACAGAAAACCATGAGGAGCCTGGGACCAAAACAATGGTGACAAGGAATGATGAGTTGTCACCTGTGACTACTCTTAAATCTCATTATCTCAAGTAACATAATATGCTTAAATAGCAAGATCAACTCAAATCCGACGTAGCAAAGAATTATACAAGTATTTGAGTTGAGCAAAATAAAAATAAACCAATGATCAATTGGTGACAACTTTACTTGAAATTGAAAGGCTCAGAAAGCTACCCAATCAATCATCAATTTTGCTTCCCTCACCTTAATTCTCTTCACACTCCCACAAAATAACTCTTATGCACAAAATAAGTCATAGATAGAAGTACTTCTATTAAAGTCAATGTTTTTTGTACCTAATTTTGGTAAATTAATGGGCTAGAACTTCCAGTGGAAAGTAGGAATTACACACTTTACCAAATGCTTAATTTCACATTATACAAGATAACTTATTGAACTGGTAGTCGCATCACTTTAAAACATCTTCAAGTGACCAAAATGGGGGTTGCTTCCTAAAGGATAGGCTATGTTCAAGTATAGATACTCACTTGTGTTTGAGATTTTTAAACTTTAAGTATTTTGCACATGCGTTGTTGCAGAATAAACCCCACACACACACAAACAACAGCAAAAAGATCAATCACAAACAACAAAATACAACACACAAATTTGCGCGGTTTGGCAAGATTGCGTACATCCACGGTTCATATTAGTTCCACTATACTAAAAGAAGAGAAGAGTACAATATGGTTGCTATGAAGACAACAATATGTATGATAAGATTTACACTAACGAATTATTGTAATGCCAATAATACACTTCATGTCCGCACGGTCAAGTCTACAGTACTAACGAGGCTCCACAAACCCAGAATGCATGTGTGTGAAAATGGTTTTCATTTTAGTCAAAATGGTTGTATGTATGTCTTTATGTTTTGAACAAAACAGTACAAAAGAGAATTCATAAAAGTTAATAACTTAATCCCAGGTCAAAAAATTGAAAGAACTTAAACAGTTAAAAAAAGACTAGAGGAGGTGAGACTAAATACACTCATATTTACACGTACACACACACTTACATTATGTATAATACATATATGTTGTGCACGCATCATGATGTAATCTTTATTTTTTTAAAGATATGATAAAAGTCGATAATCATGATAAATAAATAAAACTTTTAAAAAAAATAAAAAAAAAAAATGCCATGGCCAATGCATAAAGCTCCTGTTTACAAGTTTGGGAGAGGTAATAGGTAATTAGCCTTACCCCACTTTTTTGTGGACAGAATAATTCTAGTTACTCCAACCTATATGACAAGATTGGGGCTTGGGAGGAGATGACATTCACTATTGCACTAGGTCATGAGCATCATGATCAAGAAAATAACATGATCTGAATCAACAATCAAAAACAAATGGTAAAAGAGGGCTTTGAAAATATAGTGGTTGTTCTTATTTTACCATAAAGTTTTAAATTAGCCCCTCCTAATGTAATCAAGATTCATGATTAATGTTTTAAAAGGCACGCTTAGGCGCATGCCTAAGCTCAAGGCGAGGCGAGGCGAGGCGCAAGGATGCACTTCAAACAGGTCAAGGCAAGGCAACGTACGTGAGGCACAAGTGAGGCAGCGAGGCGATAGCTTTTTGGCGAGGCGCAAGGTGATGGGCTTCTGCGCTTCACTTGTTTTTCTACTCCAATGGTTGATTATATGGTTTTCTATGTGCATACCCATAGGGAATCAAATCTCTTCATTATAAAAAGACCAAAACATGGTCAAAAAGAGCAGAAATTGATTAAAAATACCCTAGTGGTTGAAGAAGATCAGAAAGTCAAGAGACGACACACGACAAGCTTCTTCAGCTTCGGCTTTGGCCTTTCAGGTTCTTCTCTTCTCTTCTCCTCTTCTTCTCTGGTTCTTCGATGATTCGATGGGTTCTCTATTTTCTCTCCCTGATTCGCTTACTCTATTTTCCTCTTCTTCTCTTCTTCTTTTCTTATCTGGTTCTCTTCTTCTTTTCTTCTTTACTTCTTCTCTTCTGCCTCTGTTTTTTATTTTCCTTTTTTTTTTCTTCGTTCTTTTTTTTCTTTTCTTTTTTTTGTGTGGTTCTCTGCCTCTGTTTTTTTTCATGGCACTTTAAATCTTTTGTTGGATATTATGATTTTAGTTTTTATAAACAAAAATGCTTTGTTTAAAGATTATTTGAAATGGTAAAGCTTGCTTTATAATTTTTGGAATTCTACATATATTTGTTATGTTGAAAAGTTTGCCTATTTTCTAATTTTGCTTTTTTTCTACTACATGCATCTCGCTTTGATGAGGCGCGCGCCTCGCGCTTAGGCTATAGGAGACCTTATCGCCTCGGTGCGCCTAGAGCCTTTTAAAACACTTCAGACAGTACAATCTGAACAGTTAATCTCATAAAACAAAATAACTGAACAATCAATGTACCATGCAATGTAAAAATTAGAACATCTTATGATTAACAGTAATACTAGAATGACCATATCTTTGTACTATATTTTCATACAATTTGAGGTGGTATCCTAATACGCACAAACACATCAACAGCGAGGCCTCACAAAAAAAAATACCCTATGCCTTCCCCTATTCCCCTTCCGTCTTCCAACGTCTTCTCTCCCACTCATCACCTCCGCCACCAAGCACCACTACTCACTGCAACCATCACCAAACACCTCCGCCATGTACCCCTTCCTGTACCGCCACCAGCCCCTCCCCCTCTCTATCCGTCCACCACCACCACCACCGCCGCCACCACCAGTGGCAGGAAAAAAGGGAAGAGATACCAACAAAAGGCCTACCGCCAAACAGCACCACTCATCAGCACAATGGAACGCCCACTGCCAGATCCCCAATTGCCTTAAATTTAACAAACAAAAGCATAAAATAATTGTTGTCCAAGCTTTTTATTGTGTCATTTCTGAAAATTTAGCAACTTGCAGCTTTGGGAAATCAGCCCTCAAAGACTTCTTCCACCTTTTAGAACCCTAATCCTAGAATTCATTCCTACCCTAAATCCACCCATAGGCACTCATAGGTAGCTTTAGGCCTTAGTTTCCTAATCTACCTTGCATCAATTTGGTATTGGAGAAAAAAATCCTTCCTCTTTTATTGAGACCATAAATTTTCTTTATTCACATGATTAACATGTTGATAAAGCTAATAAGGACACTGAATTATTGAAGCATGAAATGAGTATTATTATTACACAACACAAAAGGAGTTGAAGACCACTATCCATAGATCTGCTGCTACCATCCCAGATGAGGGTAATGTTAAGGAACAGAAAAAGTGAACAGAGGCACGCAGATATTAAAAAAATGAAATCCAAAATTGATGTTGTAACCGAAGAAAGCATAAAGGATATTTTAAAAAGTGGTCAAAACCATTTCATTAACGGTGGCATATTGAATCCAATACAAACCGCTTTAGCGAGTAGAATAAAAATCACAAGTGCAACACGCCATTATGATACTACTAAGGCCATTACACTTCCACTACTTGTGTTGCACCCCATCGACAATCTGCTTTAGAACATCCTGGTTTTAGTCACAATTTTTCCATTTGTTTTGATCTGACCAAAATGTCTCTGGAACTCCAAAACCATCAAAACTCCTTAACCCTACTACTTTCAACCATGAATTTACAAGATTTGTGTCGTCGGGGTCTCTTGATCTTCAACCCAAAAGTTTTGATTTTGTGTGAAGAATTATTAAAATAAAGAGAAGATACATCCAATAAATGGGAAATCTCCATAAGTAGCACTTTGCTTCTGTGAAATCTATAATTTTGCAACACAACACAACACTATAACCATTAATAAAAATATAAATAAAACAAAGTGGTGCAAGTATGCAACATAACAACACTTGATGGATTACATATCTTTAATTATTTTTTGAGCCTTAAATAGATTATGAAACATGAAATTGCCAATCATTAAAGAAAATATGCAAAACTCTCATGACAATGAAATATCATATTAAATCATATTATTCATTTAAAATTCTACTGGCCTACATTGAGGTTAGTCGTTATTCTTAAATTATAGATGTGGTGGTTGAAATTCAAAACTTTATGCACTGGACCATGAGTGCAAACACTGCTGGGTTAGGAAATAGCATAAACTTTATATTAGACTGCAAGTTTCTGTTTTTATGACCAGAAAATTTGCTTATTTCCATTTCAAATTGTTCTTTGGACTTTTTATCAAATATGAGGCGATTGCAACACAATATATAAGACTCGCGATTCAAGCAATCCAATTTTCTTTGTGTAAGGAGAAAACCCCAAAAATGGTTTTCCTAAATCTATAATCTTTCTAAAGTAAGTTACTTCAAAAGAAAAAAATTTGAAACGTCCAAATCATGTGCATTGTACACTAACACATAATAAAGCCAATTAAGCTGCCAATGAAGCAAAAAATCTTCAAAATGCAACCACCTATTTGATACCAAAACTGAGTAAGAACCATTTTACAAGCTCAGACTAATATCTTTGAGGCAAGATGGCAACCTAAGCAACAAATAAATTTTAAACCCCAAATAAAAGGCAAGGCATGGCATGAGCACAGATTTGGAACATGGTGACTCTTTTGTAAAAGGATT